TGCACCAGTCAATTGAAACCCCAGACCAAGTTCACCGTGTTCGTACTTATATAATTATGTGCATACTTCTATTGTCCATGTTTGTGTGATGTTACTCTGTGTGTTTATCCAAATAGGGCTAGTATCCAAAGGTCGTAGGTTCGAATCCTGCCGTGGCCAGGCATATTTTTCAAGCCTGCCCGGTGTGGATATACACTCAGAGTAACATCACACAAACATCTTATTCACCTGAGTACATTACACCAACGCAGCAGATTTCTCTTGTTCAGTTTATATCTGTCTATCAATTTCACAAATAATTACCGTACCGTAATTCGAGGCAATATTACCCAAATTTTGAAAACTAACATGTCAAAATTCGCTAGGTTTTCTAATGAAGAGACTTTAGAAACGTGATTTTTTGTGGCTTTAGAAACATGATTAGGTTCTGTAGGCCTTAAAATATCTTGTTCGGGGCCGTCTGACAAAATGTCTGATGACTTTGAGTTTGGGTCGGGCATACTGTATGATGATGTCCGATGACCTTCAATTCAGTTTAGCTTGGAAGTAAGTCTGAATGACCCAAATTAACATCAGCACAATGTATTAATTCTGAATGGTAAATGTTGTGAAGATATTAAATGTGTGTCATTCATACTCATTTTCAGCCAAAATTAAATTGCATGCCAATGCCGGCAGCAAGATGTCAACACTCAAGCTTGTTTTCCACTTCATCATGTCGCTCGCCGCTGGCAACAATTTGATTTACGTCGGACAAAGCTACAGTTTGGTCAGACGCCGATACACTTGGCCAGACTGCAGAGTGTGGCATTAGTGCACACCTGAGTAATTTTTCGTTGAACTCCAGTGTGTACACTTGGAATAAAAATGTAAAATAAACTCAACTATTTAAACAATGGTCGGTTATATAGTACAGTAATACACTATTTTTCTACTGCAATAAATTAAAATTGTTAGATGGCTTGTTTGTATTGAAAGAATTTTATTAAAAAGAAAGAAAAGAAGCTGTTATTTTGATTATAAATATGATTATAATTATAAATATGCGCACTTCATTTGAGTTTGCACACTTGCACACTTGATATTTTCATTTGCACACCTGAGATCTCGGCGAAAAAAGCCACACTCTGCAGTCTGGACACTCGGCCAGACAAACAATAAACTTCAGTTTCACTTAGGTCAGACAGAACGTCCGGTGGTTTCCTATCTACGTCAGACAATTTGAGGAATGGGTCGGACAATGTCTGTGAGGCATAAAAAAAATACCTGTGGTTCCGGTTCCCGACCGACCCTATTTTTTTCTGCCGACCCTATTTTTTTCTGCCGACCCTATTATTTTTTCAACGCGATTGACTGTGCGACCCTATTAATTCTCCAGGTGGTTGCGGGCTGCTCATGCAGCGTGCCAAAATGGCGTCTGTTGTCAGACAAATTATTGAACCAAATTGCCTAAATTTGTCCATAGGAAATACGCATCTCTAGTTAATATTGATTTCGGGACTCTACTGCAAATCGCCCAGCAAAAAAATGCCAAAACCATGAAAAAAATATTTAAAAAAAGAATTTATTTCCGACCTACCGACCCTAATTTTTTCACAGTATGAAACCAGAACCACAGGTATTTTTTTTTACGCCTGACGACCTAAATTTTAAGACCTGTTTTGTGCACATTAAATCCTGGGCATTCGACACCAGCCTTTCTCATATATGGTGTTAAATCCCGGCTATTATAGCCCGCTTTTATGTCAGTGTTAAACCCCGGGTATCGAAAATGTTATGCTCGGTTAAAACACTGTACATATTTCCCACAGAAACACCTGTGAAAACCCGGCCTGTCCCCAGGGGGCTTATGGATTTTGCAGTTAATGGTTTAATACTGTTACTGCATGCACATAAAAATTGCAATTTGTTTGTGTCGGTTGCAATTTGCTAGGGCAATCGGCCAATCAATATTGCATGACAATATTGCAATGTTGCCCGCAACAGGACACCAGATTTGACTGTATAATTACCTACTGTATGTTACATATATGTCTATCTAAGGTTTAACGTTCTATGGCACTACATAAGTTTGAAATCTGGGCGTATAAAAGCTGTATTTTATACACTTATTAATAACTACTTAAGAATAAATTATTAACCAAATCTCATTGAATACATGAATCACATGCACGGCCGTAGCAACTGGGTGGCT